AATCTGAATGGGCAATATTATTGTTTCTCTGAAAAGTATTGGTGTACTAAATACTCTCTGACATTTTATATACTGCCTAACAAATGGAATGCCCTATTCATTATCAGTTAAATGCTAGGATGAATAAATGAATTTTGCCATTCTTGAAATAGCTCTTATTGTTGTAATTACCTGAGACTAAGAGATGAAGGTAAAACTTGGGTTCCTGGTTCAGTTTAATGACCTCATATGTTTATTTGGCTCTTTATGGTTCTTAACTGGTTGAGTTAGAAGCTAAGGAACCAATTTTTTTTTTTTTACTTCAAAGATAGAGATGGAATGCATACATTTAAAAAACATGACCATTGTATATTAGTTTGGCTGCCAAGAATAATTTTTTCTCTTTTCACTGATTGATAGAGAATTCACTTCTTAGATACAAGACCAATTATTTTATCCAGTGTATCCAAGATAAGAAATTCATGAATCATGTATCATTTTTAAAGAAATAAATGGGTAGTTTCTTTTTTCTTAGTCCTCACTGCACTAGTAGAACTTCAGTCAGATTTGTTTCCAGAGGAGATAGTTTCATAGAGTTTCAGATTGCTTGGTCATACAAACAAGCTCGCATTCGTCGTAGAAGTCTCGTCAACAACATTAGCTAGGTTAGCATCCAGCTTATGTAGGGCCTGGGAATTTCATTGTCTCCAGCAGCAAGCACATGTTGCTTTCAGAATGTTGTTCAAAAGTTGGGCCAACCTCTGACTTCCTAGGAAAACAGCATAATGTAGCGAAACGGCAGTGGGAATCAGAATGAACTGATTTGTTGTATCTGAGAGCTAAATGTAAGGCTTTGGGCAAGTAATTTGTCTCAATTCTTTATTTGTGAAGTGGCCATTTTAAAAGTTCATTAAGGGAATCAAATGATATTCCATGTGTAAGATAGCAAACATGGTATTGTCCTCCTAAGGTTCCTCTGCATGCTTACCATGTGGAAATTTATCTCTGTGTTAATTCTATCCCTCTGAAACGTATAGAAGTTTGAATTTCTTTCCATCTCAGCTGTCAGGTCTTTTCTGTTGCCTTTAAACTGTTCCTTAAATGACATAATTTGGTGAGATTCTTCAATAAAGTAATGCCGTAGAGTTTATGTCCCTTAAAGAGAGATGCCCAATGTTTCATAGTCTTACCAGCAAAAAATAAATGGCCATCATCTACCATTAATGTGTGTTTAGAGTAAAATAATCTATTTTTTGGAGGGTATCACATCATACATTTGGTCTGAATAATGTGGAAATATTTCCCAAGGAAGGCAACATTTTATTTTTAGGATTTTGGTTTAGTTCTATGTATTTTATTCACAATGAAATAATCTCTTTATATACATAGGATGGAAGTTACTAAGGTGAGTTGTACTTTGTGCCACCAAAATCTTTCGTGCTTTATGGTCAATATATATTATATAATATATGCATGTATTAAGTACTATGGTCAGTATATAATTTATAAATATATGCTTTCACCTTTCATTATCTTAAGTTTGTGTAAAGAAAGGTGATTTGACATTGGAAAATTAAAAACAAAGTAAATATAAACTTTTCAGGCGTCTTGCTAAAGTAGTGAATCTAACACTGATTGTTGTAAAGTCCTTTCAGTCACACTCTTGCCATTCTTACTAGACAGAGTGCAGATTGTTGGATAGACTGAGGATGGCATTTCTAGTACAATTTTCATTTGACTTTAAATTAAAACTTAAGTATTTTATGCAACTAATTTGTATACGTATATACGTTTATTCATTCATATGATTATAGAGTTAGACAATAAAAAAACACTATGGAATTTTTACTTGCACCCCTATGCAGTTTTAGATACTGTATTTTTGATATTCAGTGATCTAGATTGTCTTGTTTGTTTAAATAGTTTATGTTGTTTTTATTGTCACTGAATTAGTTTCACCAGGCCTCTTTTCAGTAGGACCACCTCTAAAAACGAGGTCTGTGCCTTATGGTTCTGAACTTAACCTACAGATTGGCAATAAGAGGCTTGTAAAATCCATATATGGGGTCTGCATCATGTTAATGTTCAAGATTTATTTCCCTCCAAAGGTTCATAACCAGTATTGACAAATATATTACATACTGCAATTTTGATATGGTCATAAGGTAGGATGCAGGTTTTAAAAGAGTTAAAGAAATATCATAAAGAAATAGTGACTAGCATCAATTTTTTATTGTGCATTTTCTAAATATTAATATTCTCCTAAATATCTAAGAAAGCAATTGTAAAACGCACCCTGCATTTTTTTCTTTTTCTTTTTCTTTTTTTGGAAGGGGCTAATATTTGATAGATTTGTCCTTTACACTAATTTTTCACTCATTACCTATGCTTTATATCCCTAAACTATGCAGTCTCTAAGTAAGTTACTTGGAGCCCATCTGTTTTGGTTTTTTTTTTTTTTTTTTGTATTTTTCAAAGTAATTTGTTTATTGTTTATGTTGTCTTTGACTGCCAATGATTATTCTGAACCAGTCTTTTATCTTTTGCCACTATTGCTTCTTACTTCAGATTAAAAATAATGGGTGCCTTTTTGTAACATTTCTTTGTGAAGAAACGATTAACATTGCATTGACTGGACTCAATAAGGAGAGGTAAAACTAGGTCATTTTCTCTGTGGAACTCACCTTTCAGTCAGTAAGGTAATTGTAGATAACAAATAATTATGATATGAAGTAATAAACTGTAACAGGACTGTGTGCAAAGTGCACTGGCAGCACGGCTCAGGAGAAAATAAGTTTTTGTTGCATTACATAACATTGTTCTTGGTGGTGCAAACCACTGAAATAATTGCTGAAGATGTGTGTGGGAAGAAAGAAACATGGGAAAACAGTTGAGTCTCTTAAGAGGCTTTCAGTAAAAATATTCTCATTCTCTAAAATTATAACTTGTCATCAGACAATGAAGATGTTATAATCATTCCTGCATAATAAAATTTTTGGTGCAAATTATCTTTTTGGGAGTACATGTAATCAGGTCAAAAGCTTTTAAAATTTATACCTGGGTGTGATTTGGAGCAGTTGATTTATCATTATTGAAAATTCACTGTGTGCTAGGTCCTGATTAACAAAAAGAGAGATGGTCTTTGCTGTCATGGAGTTTGTACTCTAGTCATAAAACCTCTTAGGTGAAAAAGCACACTGTGGTTTTATTCTATTTAAGTATCTCAGAAATATTTACTTAGGATATGTAAGCAATAAATCACATTTTGTGTAAAGGTATTATCAGAGGGGAAAAATCATATACAAAGGTTTCTTGTAATGCAAAAATTTTCCTTCAGATTAGTATCCTACAATGTTTTTGTATCTTTGCAGTTTAAATATAACCAAATAAATATATGTAGACTGATAGTTACAAAAATAGTACCCATCTCACCTTATGATCTCAAAAGTCAAGTGAAGAATAATAAATATAAAACGTTAGAAGTCTATTTCTATGCTAAGCCATGACTAAACTGAGTATGGAATTATCTATTTGATATTTTCTTAATTTATAATTATTTATGCAACTGGTGCTTAGCTGACTTTCATTGCAAATTGAGTATTAATATCAACAATATATCAGATTAGGTGTACTCAAAAATGTATAGTATACTTAAATGCGATATGTAGATCTGGTATCATTTTCCTTCATACAGTATTTCTTTTATGAAAGATTATGCCAATAGCAAGTACAGAGCTGTTTTTCAATTTTTGTAACTGTCTCAGTTTTAACAAAGGTCAGAGTAGAACTGATTAGAGAGAGGCAGAACCCTCTTACTCAGTACCCCTCCCACGTACCCTCCCAACTCCTGCAGTTCAGAGAGGCTCAGATGTGGTATCAATACTGATGGGAAAAGGCAGGAAACACTCAGGTTTCTGTTGCCAGCCAGTATGAGAACACATGAATTGAAAGGAAAACATTGATTCTATCTGAGAAAGAGAAGGATTAAAAAAAAACAAAACAAAAAATAAAACACTAGCTATAGAATAAGCACTAGCAGAAATCTTTGCTAAGTTCCTGTTAAGTTTTTCTTACAATGCAAATAGCAACAAAACTGGTTTGTTTGGTTCTTATTTTATTTTCATATTTGGTTATTAAAACTCTTCTCTATTAAAATATGTTTGACAATTAGATATTCAGATTACATACTATGTATAAGCCTGGCTAAAAAACTTTTTTTCCCTCATATGAGAGAGAAATAATTATCTTTTATTATGCATTTCAATTTTAATCCTATAAGCAGATAAAAAAGTAGAAACCTTACCACTGGGTTGCTAATAAGTTGAAGATAAAACAAGATTCATACCATGTAACTGGCAAGCTACAGTATATTGGTATCACTATAGATTACTGCTTTGTTTTCTTCTGGATAAAAAGTCATACTCCATTTTTATAAAAATGGAACAAATATTTTAGGAAGAAATTGGGCATGGTGGCACACACTTTTAATCTAAGCATTCTTGGGAGGCTGAAGCAGGAGAATTGCAGGTTTGAGCCCAACCCTGAAAATTAGAAATTTAGGGAAACTGCCTCAGATTAAAAAAAGCACTGGAGATGTAGCTCAGCAAGAAGATTCAGGGTTCAACCCCTACTACTGGGGGGAAAAATTAGGAGCATCAGTTAGAATTCAACACTGGTGTATGTGTTTTACTCCAGAGTTTTCTGCTTCACATTTTTTTTCATGAAAGAAATAGTTCATACATGATATGTGTGTAGGTATTTTATATATATATATATATATATATATATATATATATATATATATATGCCTTATTATATAGACTATAATATGTAGGTATCATGGAAAATTTGGCACATTTATCTCATGTTAGACCCATATTGTCTCATTAATTTTGAAAAACAAAGGTACGGTAGTAACTGAATGCATCTGAAGTTTGTATTGCTAACACTGCTGCAGATTTTAACGTTGTGTTTTCTCTCTCTTTTTTTCTCCCCTCCCTGCTGCCCTCTCCTCTCAACAGTCCTGGTACCTGGGCTAGCTTGGTTCCTTTCCAAGTGTCAAATAGGACACCCATCCTACCGGCAAATGTCCAAAATTATGGTTTGAACTTAATTGGAGAACCTTTCCTTCAAGCAGAAACGAGCAACTGAGGGAAAAGAAATACAACAATAGTTTAAAAAATAAAAAATAAAAAAAATTTAAAAAAGGAAAAGAGGAAGACTGGACAAAACAAAGGGAGAAAGGAAAGAAACTGAAGAAAGAAGATGATAGACCAGCAATTGCAGCACTTACAATCACTAATTCCCTTAAGGTTGAAAGTATAATGACATTAAAAGGGTCGATGATATTTCACTGATGGTAGATCGCAGCCCCTGCAACGTAGCCTTTGTTACCCGAAGTCCGCTGGGAAATAGATGTTCTGTCTCTATGACAATATATTTTAACTGACTTTCTAGATGCCTTAATATTTGCATGATAAGCTAGTTTTCTTGGTTTAGTATTCTTGTTGTTTACGCATGGAATCACTATTCCTGGTTATCTCACCAACAAAGGCTAGGAGGCGGTATCAGAGGTGCTGGGTGACAGAGCCATGAGCCAGCCATTTTCTAAGCACTCTGATTTCTAAAAGTTAAAAAAATATATATATAAAATCTCTGTAGCCTTTAGTTATCAGTACAGATTTATTAAATTTTGGCCCTTAACCCAGCTCTTTTCCAGTGTGTAACCCAGTTCAAAACCTTAAAAAAAAAAAAAAATACAGAAAAGGAAAAAAAAAAGAAAAAAGGAAAAAAAAGAAAAAAAAAAAAACCAGTTTGAACACAAAGGCTCTATGGAAGAAATGCCTCTATGTAGGTGAAGTGTTATCTCTGCATGCAACAGTAAAAATTAATATAATATTTTCCCCACAAAAGAAACACTTAACAGAGGCAAGTGCAATTTATAAATTTATATCTAAAGGGGAATCATGATTATAAGTCCTTCAGCCCTTGGACTCTAAATTGAGGGGATTAAAAAGAATTTAAAATAATTTTGAACAAATTTATTTTCCCCTCAGTTTTTGAGGGCATTTAAAAAGGCATTAAATCAAGACAAATCATGTGCTTGAGAAAAAAAATTAATGAAAACACAGCACTTATGTTGGTTTAGCTGCAGCCTCCTCTGGAGGTAGAATTTATTTATTTAAAATTACTGGTTGCATCAAGAACCCATAGGGTGTACAAAGGTTCTATAAAATCTGCATTATAGAGACAAAAGAGGCAGGCAAATCCATGTCACAAGGGTAAAGCTTACAGTTTACAAACTGGGAACGCCAGGGTGTAGGATATTAAAAAAAGAGAAAAAAACGCACTCTTGAGAAAACAAATGTAATCAGGGTGCTGAAAACTTGCATGGTGCTTTCAGACATTAGCCTTGTTCAACAAATTTCTTGTATTGACAGATTCGTAGTGTGCATGGGCAGACACATTTTGCCTCTATGTCTCTTAAAATTTTAATTAAAAATACTCTTTCCAGTAATCCTAATTTGCACGAAGATATAATGTCCACATTACGTGCCTTGCCTTGAAATCTAAAAAACAAAAAACAAAAAACCACAAAAAAACAAAAAGTGACATCACTACACTTGTTTTGCTGCATTTATTATCATTTTAAATCTTTACCATTTTTATGACAAAATATTTTGTACTCCAGACGAAGAAAAATGTGTGACATCATGGATTTTTTAGACAGTTATAACTTTATCTCACATTTATAAAGCATATCATGGCTGTGTATAGTTGCCGCTTAAAAATTGTAATCGACCAGCAATATTTTCAGTATTTTGGTGTTTTTTCTATTAACCTTTCATGTTTTTCATCTTCCAATTAATATTGGGGGGAGGGATTTCAAATTTATACGAATTATGCAATACCAAGTTTTGCCTATGTAGGTAGTGCTTTTAGCTGTATTGGTTATTATAGGTAAGTACACAGATTTTTAAAAGAATAATGTATGCTTTTTGTTTGTTTGTTTGTTTTAATTGACCAAAGTGGGTACTGCTATTTTTGCAGTGTGATGAGGTCCTTTTGTGTACTGAGAGATGGACAGGGGATTTTTTTTAATATACATATATATATTCTGGGGTGGGTGGGAGGATTTTTAACACTTTACAGTGTAGCTGTGAAGCAGTGCACCCTGAGATGGGCCCGAGCTGCAAAGCGACTGTTCTGCCTACTGTGACGAACTTCAACTTACACAGGTTCTCCCTCTCTAATTTCCTACCTGGGGTGCAAGCTGAACTCGTTTCTGGTTTTCAAAACAACAAAATAGTAAGAACAAGCAGACACCACAGATTCTCCTGGAGGCAGACTTGGCTTAGAAGGAAAACTGTCCTATTTTCGTTGTTGGTGGTAGTTTTTCTTGGAGGTGGCAGATTCGGAGGGGGACTGAGTCTGTCTCCTGTCTGGTGAAGACACTTGCTGAAATGCCCATAGAGCTGATGTTGGATATTTCACACTTTAGGGTTTAACACAGGAATATGCTTTCTCCTACAAACACTTTGACCAACTGGAAGGAATGCTTCCGTATTCTTTCCACTCCACTCCCTTGCCCCATTTCTTCACTTATTAATGATAAAAATTATATGATAGGTATGATTTACCTGTGACTTACTACTTCAGATGGATAGCAATGCACTGCAATTGCTTTCAGTATCCACAAGATTGAATGAAAGGTTGCTATTATTGAATGTATTTGGACTAATAGATTAAAAATCAAAGTTCAGTGTTTAAGGAACAAAGTAAATACATAAATCTTGTTTGTTTGTTTGTTTTTAATTTTACCTGCCCTTTAAAACTGAAAACTAGAGCAGAGAGAATATAGAATTTTAAGAAGTTAATTTTCCTGTGGATGAATTAAGCCTATTTGATCCTGATGGAATTTTTTTTCAAGGGATGGTATCTCAAATATATATTTGATTTAGTGTCCCCTGAGGGTTAGAGGGTGAATGGAGGCTGGTTTTATCTTGTCCCTTCCTCTCCTCTCCCAGTCCCATTTAGTGAATTCATTATTAGAGAGAATATTTCAGAATTAGTGATACATGGTAGGCTGTCTTAAGGAGTCCCTGGTCCCCTTCCCCAGACCATTGCCTAATAAAATAAACTGTCAATTGTACTCACAGCGAATCATTTTGTAATGAATACTTTAGAACAATGCTTATGGGCTGGAGAATTGCATTCAGTCTGATAGCCCAAATACTGAATAGCATGGCAGGATCCTCGCAGTGCAAGTTTCGAAAGGAGCCCAGCCATTTCTGTGATACTTGCCCTGTTGAAAGCAGATCATCTCAGCCGAGCTCCTCATGTATCTTTGACCTACTAAATGAACAACTCAACCTCACAGGACACACAGTATTCTTCGCAGGCAGACTCGCTCTCCATTTTTTTTTTGCCAGTGAATGAGCAGATCTAGCTTCAGTGACGCACTGTGGGTATTCCTGCCTGCGTCTTGACTATAAAGGCCTAGTGCAAGTGTTGCTTTATTTTTAAATCCATTTTTTTCTTACTTCCTTTTGAATTAAAACTATTAAAAAATACTACTATATAATCTCAAGTCCACTTTTTGGCCTCCTCCTCTTTCACCAGGAAGTAAATTCTGACGAAGGGCCCCACTTTTGCAGGTCTTGCACGCCCCTCCCTTACCCAGAACTGCAGAGCTTCAGGCTGGTCAAGGTCACCCAAGGGCGTCCGTAGGGGTTGGTGTCTCCGGCCACCAGGTCATGGCACTGTCTAGCCTTTGTTGCTTCGCTTTGCAGCCCACCACTCACAGTGCCTCTGCAGTGTGTTTCTCCTGGAGTGACGTGAGCGTTGGAGGCTTGTCTAAGGAAAAAGAAAGGAAAGGCAGTGAAGGAGACTGTACATAAAGACATGGCAAAAATCTTAATTATAGCAATAGAGTCGGGTAATTTTCGGGTGGGCAGCTCCATTAAAAAGTATGTGAATGAATCTGAAGCTGCGAGTAGGAAGAAGAGCGGAAGGTCTTCTTAACGAACCGCCTAC